AACCTTGTCCATGCGTACTCTTCAAGTATTTCAGAATTCGGAGGGCTGCTTCCATGTGCGGTTGTCGTGGTTTATGCATGAATCGACTTAACACATGCACGGGATAAGTGATGTCCGGCCTTGTAATAGTTAAATAGATCAATCGACCAACCAACCTTCTATACTTTGCCGAATCTTTAAGCAACTCACCAGTGTTAGAAAGTTTAAAATTCTGCTCCATAGGAAACTCTACTGGGCGAGCTCCCAAAAGGCCACTATCTTTCAAAATTTCTAAAGCGTATTTTCGCTGAAAAATAAAGATCCCTTTCTTTGACTGTGAAACCTCTATTCCCAGAAGGTACTTCAAGTTACCGAGATCCTTGATTTTGAAGTGACCATGAAGAAACTTTTTAAGAGCATTAATTCATTCAGGATCATTGCCGGTGATCAAGATATCGTCAACATAGATCAGGAGGGCTATAAAGGATTGCCCTTGCTGCCTCATAAATAGAGAATAATCTGCCTTTGATTGAATATAACCAGCGGATTTAATTGCTTCTGAAAACTTTGCAAACCATTGCCGGGAAGCTTGCTTCAAGCCATATAGGGATTTATTAAGGCAACACACGAGATTCTCCCCCTGTCACCGAAGACCAGGAGGAAGGGTCATATAGAGTTCTTCATGAAGATCACCATGAAGAAAAGCGTTGTGGACATCAAGTTGGTGAAGAGACCAGTCGCGGGCAGCAGCGAGGGCTAATAAACAACGAACAGTGACCATCTTAGCAGTAGAGGAGAAGGTATCGTGATAATCAACACCTTCAAGTTGAGTGTAACCCTTGGCGACGAGGCGAGCTTTATAACGTTCAATAGAACCATCAGAACGATGTTTGATCTTATACACCCAACAACAACCAATGAGAGTTTTGCCGGCAGGGAGAGTAGTGAGTGTCCAAGTATTAGTGGCCTCCAAAGCATGCAATTCAGAGTCCAATGCAGCTTGCCAATGGGGATGAAGGGCAGCCTGAGCATAAGTGTAAGGTTCGACCTGCTGACTGATAGAAGCAAGGAAAGATTGTTGTTGGGGTGAGAAGCGATGATAAGTGAGAAAATTAGTAAGAGGATACCTTGTACCAGTGGTAGGACCTGTCGACGAATAGGACGAATCGATTGGTTAGGTAGAAGGCAAAGTAGGGCAAACATAATCACTGAAGCGAGCTAGATGAGCTGAGTGACGGTCAGAGCGGCGAAGCATGGGCACGGAAGATTTTGGGGGCACAGGCACTGGGAGCGCTGTTATGGCAGTAGCAGGGACAGAGAGAGGTGGAGCATCAGACACGGGAGGTGGACAAGGAGAAGACTCAACAGGTGACACGGGAGGAAATGTGGGTGCGGAAGGGGACGCAGAGAGAACAGTGTAGTCAGGAAGGGGTTGAGGTAAGACAGGTCCGGGAAGGGGAAGTTGGTCATCGGATATGGAGTGATGTTGGTAAAGAAAAATATGATCATGGAAAATGACATCACGACTGGTAAAAAACTTATGGGTGGTGAGGTCGTAGAGCTTATAGGCCTTTTGACCAACTGGATACCCTAGAAAAACACACTTATGAGCACGGGGAGCAAACTTATGAGAAATGTGAGTATTTGTGGCATAGGCAAGACATCCAAAGACTCGTAAGTGGGAATAGGTAGGTGATTTGGAATAGAGACGTTCAAAAGGTGTAGTGTTGGAAAGAATTTTGGTAGGGAGACGATTAATAAGGTGAACGGCCGTGAGCACACATTCACCCCAAAAACGAAGTGGTAGGTTGGCTTGGAAACGCAAACTACGGGCTGTTTCAAGGATGTGACGATGCTTGCGTTCTACAACCCCATTTTGTTGAGGCGTATAAACGCAAGAGTGTTGGTATACGACACCGTGTTCTTGGAAAAAATCACGAAGGGAGAAAAATTCACCTCCATTGTCGACACGGATTTGACAAACAAGTGTATCAAATTGAGTACGAACATAAGAGAAAAAATTCTTAAGGAGGTGTTGAGTCTCATTTTTGTGATGCATAAGAAAGATCCATGTGAAACGAGAATAATCATCTACTATGGTCAAAAAATATTTGGCTCCACAAGTGGAGGCAATTTTATAAGGACCCCAAATATCACAATGAATTAAAGCAAAAGGTTTCTGGGTTGCAATGGTACTAACACCAAAAGGTAAACGACTTTGCTTGGCTAATGGATAAACATCGCAAGCATTATTAGACTGAAAAGGAAAATGTAACATAGTTTTGGACATGAAATCTAATCTAGATGATGACAAATGACCTAAACGGCGATGCCACAACTCTGTAGGTGATAGGACCATGTTGCAGAAACGTCTCGAAGTGCCATCTTGGACAGGAGCCAACGCCACCAAATAGTAAAGTCCTCCTCGTTGCTTACCCAAACCAATCGTTCTCTTCGTGGTCAGGTCCTGCAAAATACACCAAGTGGGAAAAAAGGTGACGGAACAATTTAATCCTCTAGTAATTCGACTCACTGACATCAAATCTACATTAAAAGTAGGCAAACACAACACATCTCGTAGTAAAAAGGTAGAATTCAAAGGTAAATCTCCAGTTAATGCAATAGGTGCTTGTTCTCCACTTGGCAATAAAACTGGCAGCATATGATCATTTTTCATACTATTAATGAGCAGTTTCGGTGAGGAGGTGATATGGTCCGTCGCACCACTATCGATAATCCATCGATGGAGATGCGAAGGATTTTTTGACAAACCTTTGGTAGGGTTGGTACCATTGGCTTGAGGGGCAGCGGTTACATCTTTCCCATTCATGATACTGAGAATTTGTTGAAATTGAGAATTTGATAAACCTGACATCACGGACTGCATTTCTTGCACATAAGGTCCTTCTGAGGAAACTATGTTGGCTGACGAAGAGCCGGTGTCTCGCTTGGGGCGATTCCCACCACGTGGATTGGATTTGTTGGGCTTATGAAGACGATGCCCAGGTGGGTACCCATGCAACTGATAACAAGTATCAATAGTGTGGTAATCTTGATCGCAATGCGTACAATGCATGGGTTTGCGAGTGGAAGAACCTGAGGACTTGGAATAGTGGCCCTGGAGAACTGTCATGGCTGCTGTTGCAGTGGTGGTGCGAGAAAGGCTCAAAGAGCGTTGTTTCTCCTCTTGTGAGATTGAGGAGTAAGCTTGACGTACAGTAGGCAAGGGATTCATCAAGAGGATTTGTCCTCGAACAGCACTAAATGAATCATTGAGTCCTATAAGGAACTGCATCAACCTGTTCCTTTCATTTTGAACACCGCATGTGCATAAGGATGAATCACTATAAAAAGATAACTCGTCCCACAGACTCTTCAACTTGGTATAATAGGCTGCAATAGAGAGTTGATCTTGAGAAAGACACGAAATATCCCGTTGCAATTGAAAAATCCGATGGGCATTACTTTGGGAGTAGCGCTCTTCCAATTCATCCCAAATCTCATAAGCGCTAGTCATGTAGAGAATGTTGTCTGAAATATCTGAATTGATTGAGTTGATGATCCAGGCAACAATCATGTCGTTGCATCTCTTCCATGCAGCATGATTGTTCGGCTGGGTTTTTGCTGACGGTTGTGGAACAGTGCCATCAACAAAACCAATCTTGTTTTTAGCACTCAAGGAAATCTTCATGGCTCGGGACCAGGTGGAATAGTTGTCCCCATTAAGGGGTTTCGAGACCAGCACCATAGCTGGGTGGTCTGAATGATGAATGAACAGTGGATTGGAAGCATCAGGCTTGCTTTCGCTCGAAGTTCGATCATCGGCCATTGCTAATATCAATGGAAATAAAAAAACACGCTGCTTGTGATGAACAGCGGCAAAGAGAAATAACAGTAGAAGAAAATAGAACTAGGGTTTTGGCCTAGCTCTTGATACCATGTAAAATATATTCGGCTGAAATTCAATTAATTTTCAACAAAGATACAAAAGGCCATTTATACAGACTTATTCTCTTGGAAGAGAATTAACCTAGCCTACAATCAAGCTATACAAAAAAGGAAGATTTTGTACAAATCAATTACAGACTTTGTTTCCTATTCTAAACCAAGATATCAGGCATCTTGATATCATTGACTTTTCAACAATTTCCAACAAAGCCGATATTCCTTTCCATGCTATTGATAATGATAGCTTCAAGCGTATAATGGAAGCGGTTGGTCAATTTGGCCCGGGTTACCTACCTCCAAGCCAATATGAATTAAGGGAGCCATTATTGGAAAAAGAGGTACAAAGAGTAAAAAAGTCACTCAAGAAACATGAAGAATAGTGGGCTTTGAATGGTTGCTCAATCATGACCGATGCTTGGAGTGACCGAAAAAGAAGCATAATGAATTTATGTGTCAATTGCAAGCAAGGCACCATATTCCTTTCTTCTAAGGAATGCTCTAGTGAAGCACACACCGGGGAATATATCTTTGAATATGTTGACAAGTGTGTTGAAGAAATTGGGCCTCCAAATGTGATTCAAGTGGTAACCGATAATGCTTTTAACAATATGGCGGTTGCAAACATGATGAAAAAAAAGAGGCCGAATATGTTTTGGACATCATGTGCCACTCATACTTTGAATCTCATGTTTCAAGGGATTGGTAATCTCCCTAGGTTCAAAGGAGTTATTGACAAGGCAAAGGCTTTCACTATCTTCATTTATGCACATCATAAAACTTTGGCATTGATGAGGAAGCATACCAAGAAAAGAGACATAATAAGGCCCGGAGTCACTAGATTTGCAACTTCTTTCCTCACATTGCAAAGCTTGATGGATAAGAAAAAAGACTTGAAGGTTATGGTTGCTAGTGAAGAATGGGAACAATGCAAACATGTCAAGACTACAAAGGGGAAAGCGGCATATGCTACTGTATTGAGTTCACATTTTTTTAGTGGGGTCTTACTTTGCTTGAAAGTGTTTGAACCTTTATTCAAGGTACTTTGAATTGTGGATGGGGATAAGAAGCCATCAATGGGGTTTTTGTATGGAGAGCTACAAAAAGCAAAGATGGAGATTAAAGAGACATTCAAGAACAATGAGGCCAACTATCAACCAATTCTTCAAATTATTGATGAAAAAGCTCGTAAGCGGCTTGATAGTCCATTGCATTTGGCGGGCTACCTCTTGAACCCTTATTATTTCTTAAAAAATCAAAGCATACAACATGATCCAATTATCATGGAGGGGATTTTTACTTGTGTTGAGAAGTTCTTCCCCAATAACTATGAGGTTCAAAACCAAGTGATAAATGTTGAGATGCATAAGTATAGAGTAAAAGAAGGTGGATTTGGAAGACATTTGGCCAAACTTGGATGCGCTGAGAATGATGAAAACTATAATCCGGGTATGAATATTCACATATGCTTATATTTTATTTATTAAATTTGAGTTTACTACTTATTTTTCATTACTAATTGTGTGTTTTTTTCCTTCATTAGTTGCATGGTGGTATAATTATGGAAATGGTGTGCCTAATTTGCAAAGGATGGCTATAAAGATACTCTCATTGACTACAAGTTCATCCGGTTGTGAAAGAAATTGGAGTTCTTTTGAAGGTATACATACAAAGAAAAGGAATAGACTAGATACAACAAGGTTAAATAATTTAGTCTATGTCCAATTTAATGCAAGGATTATGAACAAGAATAAAAGAGAGAAAGAGAAGAAGGTGGACATATTACTTGCAAGTGAAGCTAGTATGGCTCAAGGATGGATTGTGGAGGGTGGTGATGAAGAGCTTGAGCTTGGCTCGGGAATTGGAGAGACATCGGAGGTAGGTAGTTCCCTAGAGCCTAGGGGGAGTTCTAAAAATGTTGAAGTAAGAGAACTTCATGAAGAAGATTTTATATCAGATGAGGACACGGAAGAAGAAGGAGATGATGAGGAAATTGAGTTCGAGTCCGACACGGAGAGAGTCTTGGAGGATATGGTGAAGAAGAGTTTGATGCCTAGTAACCTTCATAGCTCAATTTTCTTTTATGTCAGTGTCTGCATGTGTAGCATTCGAACATTTGACTCGTTGTTAATTCTATGAAATGTATGCCCATCATTTGTACTCACTGATGTTAATTCTATTATGTGAAATGTTTGTGCAACATTTGTACATTTGACTCATCGATAGTAGTGTTGGACTTGAATGTTTCCATAGTTCTAGTCTTCCATACTTACAAGTTACAAGTAGTGTCTAATTTTGAGAATGCTCATTCATTGGACATAAGATTGGAAATCACATTTCATTTCAGTGGTTGCAAGCACTGCCTTGTTCTCAAGTATACCATATGATTATTACTTCATTTGTTGAAAGAAATATTTCTTTTGTACATTTCCTACATGTTTTGTAAGTGTTAATATGCACTTATTCACATGATATACAAAAAATTTACCTAAATCCGCCTAGGTGCCGCCTAGCCGCCTAGGCGCTAGGCGCTAGCCCGCCGCCCGACTAGCAGCTAGCATGTTTTAGAACCTTGACAGCGACACTGGCGGCACCGAACGGCAAAGGATCATCGGAGAAGAATGAGAATATTTCATCACAGTTGACGGAATATTCGGACGCAATTAGATTCTGTTACTATTTAACGAAATATTCCATCAAGTTTGACAGAATATTCCCTGGTTCAGTCAGTCTTTGACCTGCGTGTGGGCACATGTGTGGTCATGGGCTAGGCAGTGCGTAAGGGCGTGTCCGGCCTCCGGTCGGCGTGTGCTTGACTTGTACGGGTCTGTGACTTTGTGTAGAATATTATCGTATATTTAAACCCTTCATTTGAGCAAACTATGGGGGTTTTTCTTAGCTTTTTCATATATGTCCTTATTAATTAATTATTATTAGTTGTTTTACATATATGGGATAATTACCCCGAGGAGGTACGAGGACAAGCGAGGCTAAGAGGCTACGATCCATCAACATATCAGTGAGTGGGCATTTGTTTTCGTGTATATATATATAAACTTTATAGTTTCCACATATGCTTTTGGATTGATTTATGCCTATCATGCCATGTTTTATTTAATTTTAGAAATGTTAATTTATGGTTATGATTTATATACTGTCATGGCACGTTCATATGCATTTTACCTGCTCATCATACATTGCTACACTCGGTGTTAGTGCTTACTGTTACAACCACCCCCATATTTCCATTTTATTTCTATTTTTCCCCTAGAACATTATTTTAAATCTATCAATTTAATCTTTTATCTCTTTTAATCCTAACCCTTGATGTAGACTCCTTATTCCTCATAAACTGCCAAGTGGCAGTTTCTTAGCTCTTCTCTTCCCTCTCTTCTTGAACACCTCCCTCTCAGACATCTCTCTATCTCTCTCACGGGAACCCTCAAGCACTCTAGAGCTCCGAGAGCTCTTGTTTCTTTCCTCTTCAAAAAACAAATTAAACCCAATAGTTTAACCTCATATCTGGAATCCTTGGAACTTAAGGAACACAACTATAACCATGCATACGTCGGTAGAACACCTCTGTGTGTTCTGCCATTGAAGCCGAGAGCTTCAAACCTCTGAAACTACAACTCAGGCGAGACTCACTACTCTATTTCTATTTTGTTGAGTTATTCTCAGTTCAAATGAAGGTTCTAATCTGTGCATGCATTATATTTTTGTTTTCCAGAACCCGGCGAGAAAACCCAATGAGTTCCGAGATCCACCTCGCCATTCTCAACCACAATTGAGACTCTGAGTGGTATAATTTTGTTCCCATCATTTCAGCTATCTTCTCTCTTCAATTTGGTACTTGGTTTGAATGTTTAGTTTCACATTTGCCGTCGACCAGAGCTATAATAGCTCTGGTGTTCTTCCCCGACTGCAACTAAGCCACCCGGCCATCAAGCCTTCTCAAATCACATGTGGGCCTTAGCCCAGCCCAGTTTCTTATATCTTTTATTTGGTTATTTGGCATGTGGGCCATGCATGTGTGTAGGTTGTGTGTGTATGTTTTGGATCGTGCATGTGCATGGAGTGTGTGTGTGTGTGTTTTGGGCCATGCACATGTTGTGCGTGTGTCTGTTGTGTGAGTGTGTGTCCATGTGTACGTGTGTGGGTGTTATGCCCGTGTGTGTGTGCGTGTGTTGTGCAAGTGTGTGTGTGTGTGTGTGTGTGTGTGTGTGTGTGTGTGTGTGTGTGTGTGTGTGTGTGTGTGTGTGTGTGTGTGTGTGTGTGTGTGTGTGTGTGTGTGTGTGTGTGTGTATGTATGTGTGTGCTATGCATGTGTATGTGTGTGCTGGTGTGTGTGGTGTTATGTGGGTTTAGGCTCAAGCCCAAACCACCACCACTTTTTATTCCTAAACCTATCCAAAACCAAAACCCTTTACCTAAACCCATTAGGCTCCATTCAACCAAAATCCTTTATTTTCTTTAGTACAAGCCCAAATCCTTTAGAAAATCCTTTTATTTATTTATTACCTTTTTGTGCTTAGGTGAAGTTGCTAGTAAGGAAATTTTTAATCCTTATCCGCACAACTCTACTGCTACGGAGTATCTGTGAATGGACTCTTTCTAAAATTTGCATAATTTATAGTTTATTTGCATAAATGAAATGCATGACTTACAAGTTATGAACTGATTTTTATGTTAAGCATGTTTATGAAATATATTGTTTATCGTCTCGTTTTTGGTGAAGAATTAATTGTTGGCCTATATTGAGCTATATTTTAAAATATTGTATTTTTTATAAAAACCATGAACTTGTAGACTATCTAATGGATGACGATAGGATGCTAGAACATGTTTTAGAAACCCATCTTTAAGTATGGATGATGGATGACTTTATACTATGAAGTGGTTATTTTTTAGAGGCGTAACTATTTATGCGTACCTAGTGGACACTATGCCGCCTGGGGCGAGGATCTAGTGTTGGCAGATAGGCCGAGAGAAATAATCCTTAGCTACAGGCTGAGGGACACAGAGCAGGTATTGGGCCGGGAGTTGGTAATCTCTGGCTACGGGCGGAGAGACCACGGTGCTGGCATAGGGCCAGAAGATATATTTATTTCAGTGATCTTACTAGTAGTACATCACGCGATAAGACGATCTGTGAGATGTTTGATATTTTTATTTTCCATGATGACTTTTGAGATATTTTTGGCATGCTAGGGTTTTCGATAAATCCATCACTTATTATGCTAATAGTTTTCTTTATATAAACTGTGGGGTTTAGTATCTTGATAACTATTTTATTAGTATTATATATATGAATTTGGTCCACTCACCTTTGTTTTGTGCCCCCATTCAGGTCATAGAAACGAGGATTACGACATGATATACGAGGCATTCCCCTACTAGTAGCAATCTATCACCCACTTTGTGATATCTTGTAATGATCTTTCCTTTTGTGATCTTGACTTAGAACGTGTTTTGTGCACTCTAGATATTTCCTTAAACTTTGTTTAGTACTTTTAGATTCTAATGATTATTCATGAATATTTCCTCCTAATCATTACTCTTGTATTCAATAATTGCCTTTTGTCACCCTTAGGTGTCCGCCAACACGTGCCTATCCGAGTATTCGGGGAATATCGGGGTCGGGACGTGTCACTTACCCAAGGCCAGGGCTAGTCTTTCACGTGTATGTTCACATCTGCACTGCATGCTAGCCTTGGATCCAAGTAGGTGCCAGTCCTGTCGTACAGGTTGCAATAGGCAACTTCGACTTGTATGTGACCGCGAATAGCACCAGTCTTCAAGTAATTGTAGCACTATAGCGTATATTATGATTACACCCAGTCATGTTCATGTCAAAAATCCTCTGCATGAACTCGTGTGTCAACATAGATTGATGAGCACCTGATTTTATTATACTACTGTTGAGATATTATGATTTGGCATACTTTTGGATTTACTGTTGATTTGCATTTGATTTCATACTTATACGTAGTATGATTTTCTAGAAACTATACATGTTTTACGGCGAGGGGTTAGTATGTTCTTTTAATAAATGTGTTTTACAAATCTTTGTTTTTGCCCACTCACCCTTCAGTTTTTTGCCCATCCAGGTCCTAGTTAGCTGATTTATTCTGTGGCATACGAGGAATATCCGGTAGTTCTGACATATCCATAAATAATGTAGGGATTTTTCCCGGTTGTGTATTAAGTACTTAACTAGTTTCGACTGCACTACTTATGTCATCTATGCTCTGAACATTTATGCTTTATGGGTTCTTCCCACTACTACGTACTCGCCACTTTAGAATAATTAATTGTTAGTTTTGGTTTAAATTTACCCTTATTTTGCATGCTTCACATTTTTATTTGGTTACGTCACCTTTGGGTGACGACCAACATGCCTTGACTCTGATCAGGGTGTGTCATCCATTATCTCTCTGTTGTGCCCTCTATCTCCCTTGTTAGTTAAATATAGGCCACTACACGTTATCAACACGTTCCTATCGCTGCACTTAGGAATCTGACGTGGAAGTTTTCTGCATCAAACCATTTCATCAATATCATCACACAATCAAGTTCTTTCAAAACAACGATTTTTATCTTGATATTTTTTGCAGCCCTGATAGTATGAACATTCACCATAATGCATGACCCAACTTCACATTTTTTCGAATTTTAGATTCTACATAAATTATGTATGCATTATATCCATAATTGTTTATGTGAATTGATATTTCCATGAATTGCATCCTATATGTGTCCATGCATTAAATTATTTGATTAAATATGCATTGAATTAATTGAATTTGAAAATCGAACCCAAACCCATCACAGTCAAAGCTCGAAGCTCAAAGCCCTTGGAACCCAACCCAAAACCCCTGACACCCTTCAAGGCATTACACGTATGGCTTACAGGCATGCCCAACCACCACGGCTGCCATCCTCAACAACTTGTAGTCTTCGCTGACCTTGTTTTTGGCCGAGATTCATATGAATCTCCCTAGATTTCAAAAACCCATATTCGAATCCTAGGATTTTTCCTGGTTGTTGGACGTCGAGATCTTCTCCGTCACACCATCCAGGTTACATGTCAAAATCATGACTTGTTCCGAGTTATTTTGACTAGAACACGACCACCT